AAGTTCCCTAACCTCAAGAGCCTGTGATGATGACAAATGGACTATATTCTTCTTATAGAGGTTAGTTAAATGTTCTGGGAGATGATGTCCTTTATATATGGTCGTATTTCTTGCCTTAACATTGACTGGCTCTACCTCCTGGCACACACCCAACAATGCTCCTTCCTTAAGTGTCTGTTCACATTTAGAAAAATTGGCCACTGTTATGAGTACTACTTGATGACCTGCCACAAGTGACTTTCCAATCTTCAAATCCGCTGGCCTGGATGGGTCTTCCACTGCTTCCACAAGCATTGGACTTCGTTGGGGATGTTCTTTTATCAGTGTAGCTAACTTCGATAAAATGACGTTTGGAAACAACAAAGGCCAAATTCCAGTAAGTGTTGCTGCATCTGTTGATTTACATGTCACAGCACTTAAGTCAACTACAATACCCCCTATGTCAGAGAAGATAATTTGGGGTAAAAATGGCAAGCACACATAGTGTCTACATGACAGGGAAGCTGGGTGGTCAAAGGTGCAACTTTGTCATAGATTCTGCATCTCAGCAAACCCTTGTGAGTATCAAGGTGCTGGATAACAAAGGAGTACCAGAAGCTGTATAGAAGCTCTGTGGTGTGACAGGACATTATGCAAGGTTGTGGGGACCAGTGTGGGTAACTATTGAGATCATGGGCATGAAGAACAGACAGAAAGTATACTTGGCTGACATTGAAGACCAATGCATATTAGGATTGGACTATTTACTACCGAGGAATTGGTAATAGGAGTGATCCAGTGCGAAGGAAGCACAGGAATTCGATGGGAAGGCACCGTGGGAAGCATATAGAGCACAATTTGAGCTACTGGCAGAGATGAACGGATGGACAGAGGAGCAGAAAGCTGTATATCTGGCAACGAGCTTGAAGGGACAACCACTGGAAATACTTGGACAGTTGACAGCAGCCGATAGACACAACTATAGAGCGCTGGTAGAGGCTCTGGAACTCAGGTATGGAACCCAGAATCAGTCAGAAGTCTACAGGGCCAGGTTCAGGACGAGAGTCCGTGCTAAAGGGGAGAGCCTGCAAGAGCTGGCACAAGACTTGGAAAGCATGGCACACAAGGCCTACCCAACTGCACCACCCGATCTCCTCAAGTTGTTGCTGAGGGATCAATTCGTAGATGCCTTGGACAGTCCACAACTTAAGATACAAGTGAAGCAAGCACACCCCTCTACCATGCAGGATGCAATGGTCAGAGCTCTCGAATTTGAATCCTACGTTAAGTCCAGCACAGAAGTACCAAGGTTGGTACAGTCATCTGGATTCAAGGCCAGAAAAGGTCAGCTTTCAGAGAAATTTGAGGGACTTTGCTGGCACTGTAACAAACCAGGGCACAAGTGAGCTCAATGCTGGCAACTTCAACACAGGGGAGACGATACAGCAGTAAAGGCTGCTACCAAGAAAGGCTGTTGGAACTGTGGGGAGCAAGGACATTTGAGGAGCCAGTGTAAGAAAAATACCACCAATAAGTCAGCTTCGGGAAACCAGTAGTGGTTAATGCTAAGGGACGCCCCCCAACCCCCATCGTGAAAGTCCCAACAGCTAAGTGTAAAATGGCAAGCACACATAGTATCTACGTAACAGTAACAAATACTATATTCAATTATTGCTCATGAAAAGTATTTCAAACTAATTAATACATGGCACTTGTAA